TCCCAGAATTCCCCAGCCAGCCAGGCTGGCTGGGGAATTCTGGGAGTTGAAGTCCACCCATCTTAAAGTTGCCAAAGTTGAGAAACATTGATGTAGCCCTATTACAACAAGGCAATAGGATCATGATTCACTGACACTGCTCATTATTCTGACTTGTTTGAAAGTTGTTACCCGTCATGTCCTGGGTCATTAGAAACTAATGGAAGTGTAATTAACGGAAGACTTCCTAGCTTGTTTACTCGTTCAAGAAGAGGAGAACCATATGCTGCCAAAAGCCTTGCTCACATTTCAGCTTACGAAAGCGATGCAGAATCGTCTACATTTTCCCACGCTCTGAAAAAGGGTAGAAAAACCTGGTATTTGGGCCAATCTTCCCTTGTTTAGATGACTTTTAATGGGAACTGAAATACTGCAATGTACCATCTGCAATTTTTTTTACGAGCTTGTTTTTTTTTTTTTTTAAGATGCCAAAAGGTAAGAGGGTTGTTTCGAAGCACAAAGTCTCCCTGTACCTCCTCTGCTTGTTCCTCCCACAACTTTTCAACCACCTCAGTTTCACCTCTTACTTACCCACTGGAAGATCTGCACTATTTATTGAAGAAGGAGGAGAAACACCTGCTTCATTCCTTGCCACCACTGTAAATACGTAATCATTTTTCCTCAGTTTGATTTTGGTGGAGTTGCGGGATGCAGGCACTGATTCCCTCTGTTTGGACTGATCTGGCAGGGTCCAATATACTTCATAAGTCTCTATCAATCCATTGCTTTCGAGAATGGGGAGTGGCTATCCGGAAACACAAATATTGTAAACACATCAGATAATTATTCCAAGGAAAAGGGGAAGGAAGTGAGAGAGTAAACAAGAGCCTAAAAAAAAAGTCTGTCATAAATATTCCTCATCGCCTTCCACCGACAAAGCACTGGGCAAACCATTTCTGTACAACTGTCCTTCTTGCACAAAGCCACACACAAATGGGCCAGAAGACAACACTTTTGGGGATGGGTCAAACGAGTCTTGGCATGGGGTACGCAAGATGGCTAAAGGAGCATGAGGCATGACAGAAATGTTCCACACGTGCCAAAATCACAGCCCATATTTTCCCATCCGTGTACATTCCTGACAATGTTGCATTTGACCTTGTTGAGGATATTTTTACAAAACCATTTCTCCTGAGACTGCTGAGAGGAGAAATCTTCCCAATGGTGCCCATGTGCCTTTGAAAAGGTCACGTGAAAGCTCAGAGAAAGTTCAGTCCAGACAATTAATACTGATGTTCAAAACACAACTAATGGGAAATTAGAAACAAACATCTCAATATATACCTTCCAAAAGATGGTGACTGTATCTTCATTAGCATCTTTCTCCCTCCAGATATCAAGCTCTCTTGCTGGACCTAGGAGAAGAGTGGTTTAATTACATTAATGAAGGTATTAATTGTTAATAATGGGCATACATAATACATACATTTGCTTTAACATGCTAGACTTTGTTTATGTATTGTCCAAATTATATTCATTAGGAATTGTACAACCTGCAAGAGTGAAGCTTTTTCATTGTTTGGAAGAACTTTTTATTTATAGTTAGAGACAGTTTTCTTCATACCACTGAGCCTAAAGACACTCTGGGTACACCAAATGTTACTTACTATACTGTAATATTTCAGTTAATTCCAAAGTAGTTGTAATGTTATCTTTCAAATTAATATGTGAGATGGTCTGTAATTGTAAAGTTTTGAATTGTGAGCTTGAATGTTTTCATTTATATTTTAAAGTTTGACCCACAGATAGGTAACGTGAGATAAAGTCTTACCAAGGAACAGCTTTTTAAATTTTCTATTATTTCTGCTTCTGTTTTTTTGTTTTTGGATTTTTTCAATTTGGATAATTTCATCAATTTGGATAATTTGTTTTTTAGGTATCTGATGTTTTCAGGTGAATCTCACAATCATATGAAATCAGGAGGACACATGTTTCATTTCAACTTTTACTCATAGCCTTCCAAAATTCAGTAAACTTACGGGCTTGCTGAGTTGTGTAGGACTTCTCCTTGCTCCAACCACTCCATTTCCAAAAGAAAGGCTCTGGAGTTCTACATTTAACTCGGGAAATGTATGTTGTGTACGGATGCAATTTGTCCACTAAGACTGTGTAACGAGAACTTCCTAAATCATCCAGCAGCACATTCTTAAAGAAGAAAACAGAAACATATATTTATGCCAAAGAGCTAATGGTTAGAATTATCATTGATGATCCATATTTATATAATGTTGTGTACATCAGTTTTGTAAGAGCACAACAAATGAATTAAAAAAAAAATGCACGGATCCCTTTCATGTATGGTAAAGCAAGTGAGATCTACTGTTCTGTTGAATGCTATGTAACCAATGAATGATGCAAAAGTGACCTGCTGGTCCCACCTAATCAGTGCCTGGCAGGAGGCAGAGCACTGATGTACCCAATCAACTATGCTTACAAGGATGCATTATTCCCAGGAAGCCAGTAGTCATATGGACTGTACAATGAACAGTCGGGCAGATGGAAGTAAACCAAAGTAAAGGGTGAATAAAAGGGGAACTAACAGAATGGGAAAAAGAAAATGAAACCTGTACATTGGCTCACCCTTAAAGACCATTTGGAAGAATGTTAGGGCCAATGCAGTAGTGAGCCTGCTACACAGAGCATCATCAAGTCAGCCTTGAAAGGCTTGCATTACGTTTTTCTGACTAGAGGTTACAGTAGTGGAATGTTTACCTTCTGAACATGGAGAGGGCACCTTGGCTTGGTTTGGCACACTTATGGTATCTCAGGGGAAGCCTAAGGTTGCAGGAGGCAAGGCCAAGTGGGTGGTGATGTTTTTTTCTTGTTTTGGGGGTGGTTGATGTGTTTGACTTTTTAAACTGCATTTAAGCCCATAATGGGGCTTATAGTACAGTTTTCATATGTTTTTCCACCTAAAAATTATGGGAAATTCACCATCAATTTTCAGCAACTGTGGTTAAAGGAGAATCCAGTGATTGCAACAAAGAAGCTGGGCAGTGTGTATCTGTGTGTGCATTGCTGTTAAATTGCTGTTGGGATCTGGCCTTTGAGGGATGACCCTGCTCATTACAAACCAGTGGGATCTAAAGGAGTTCTTTTAAAAATGCCCCAGCCTTCAGTAGCTTGTGTGCAGAACAGGGCATGCATTCTCTTTGGATAGAAAAATGGCATATAAATCAAGCAAATGAACAATACATAATGGTTCTTTACAAGAGGAGGAAATGAGAAGGTGTCACTAACAAAACTACATGGTCAATCCAAGTATAAAGACTGGGCCGCATCATGTTTAAGAAGGGCCCCAAAAGGATTGTTATAATTTTGCCATACAGACATGGGAATAATAATATTATTATAAAAATGTCACGAGATACAGTGGAACCAAACGATGCCTACCCGTTCTTCTTGGATAGTGCTGTAGGAAATTTGAAGCTGGCATTGCACTTTGGTCTCTCTGAAATTGCCAGGCAAATAATAAGACAGTCTGAAGCTGGTTGAACTTCCACCGCTCACCGTTAATTCTGTAGGAGTTTGTGGGTGAACTGTAGAGGAAAAACAAACATATTTCATTAAAAAACCCTAAACTTATTCGTGTTTGTTAGGTGACAAACCAGTGAGGCACAGAATGGTGAGCTAAGAGATCAGCGTAGAACCAGTAAAGTGTTTTTTTTTTTTTTTACATTTCACCAAAATTCTTGCTGGGAACAAATTTGAATATTTCACTGACCCATGATGGCAGAATTCTGCCTAGAATGAAGTCTGGCTAGCATTTATCTTTTTATACACACACACACACACACACACACACACACACTATGGTAGCAA